ATAATGGTAATTATATATTTGTTTATAATTATTCTACTTTATATAATAATATTTTAACAATCTTTTTTATAGATACTAATAGTAAACTATTTGATCTGGAAATAAATGATTTAGAATCAGGAATAAATTGAATTAAAATTAATGAATAGGAATTAATAAATGGATTTGAATTAATAATTAAACGTTTAAAGTTTATTCGAATTTAAAATTATAAAACAAAATGATCATAATTGTGTTACATGTTTAAACCTGTGTAGTTGTCTTGGGAGCTTATCAACGAAGTGACAGGGCGACAAAATCAGATGATTTTATTGCAGATCACGTGTATATTTGTTTGTTTGGATAATTGTTTTGAATTGAGGTTTAGTTTGTTTGTACTGAACAAGAAATAATATGTTCTCTTATGAATTATGTTATTGAACCTAGGTGCCGTACAAAAAATGGACAAGGGTAAAATCGCCACTCAAAAAAATTTTGAAAATCACGTGAAAATGATCATCATGATAATTAATGCAATGCAGTACTGCAGTAATGACAGATATTAAATATATATTAATTTTAATTTGCGTTAATATAGTATGTAACTCTTTTTTTTTAAGTTATGAAGTGCGACCGTTGTAAACTTGACAAGCAAAATGAAGCTTTCGAAAGTTCAAAAGCTAATAAACAGAAAAATTCTGATACGAAGTTAAAAAAAATATGTATTAATTGTCACGTTCAAGTTTCTGCAAATAATAAATGAAAAAATAATGAAAAAAAAATAAAATTATAGCAACAAATCAAGAAAATGCAATAGCACCAGAAAATCTTATAGATTTTATTTTGAATAACCTTCTAGATGATTATGATTTTGATGATTATTTATTTGAAAAAGTATTTTGTATTGCTTTAGAACTGTTAATAGATATTGTTGATTCAATTTCTGAAGATCATATCAACAAAGACATTGTGCAACAAATAATTAACCTTATTTCAAAGGCTAATAAGTTTTCTTGGATTTACTATAAATATCAAGTAACAAAAAAATCATGTGCATTCGTTTATTATTGTAATTGTTGTGAAGAACTAAAAAGTAAAAAATTATGAGTTGTTGAAATCTCAAGTTGACAAGACACAATGCCAAGAATTAATTAATATAAATATGATAGTATAATTCAGATTAATATAAATTGAATTTATAATTAGCAGTAGTAAATATCTATTATTATATTCATTTACCACTCGAAGCAATAAAGGTTTCTCCTCAAATTTATGATTATATTATTAAAAATAGTCTATTAATAGTTCTACAACTTTATAATAATATTAAAGAGGAATAACTCGATGGGTTTTCATATATTACTTGACATCAAGTTTACTACTAATCTTAAAAAGTTGCGATGAAAGTGTATAGATTAGCTAATAAAAATAATTCAAGTTTCAAACTTCTTTATTAAGACCAACACTTATTAGCTTTTTTAACTCCTTACTATTTATATTATCAAATAAAGTTACAAAAATGATTGTAGTAGATTCTACATATAGTATGAACTGTTTGATGTTTGAACTATATACAGTTCTTGGAATTATAGATAGTTCTAGATTCTTTTTGTCATATTTTTTTCTCAAACCAAAATATTAATATAGTAAAATAAAAGCAATTGTAATATAGTTTTTATACTTAAAAGAAAATAGAATCTGAAATGTTGAAAGAATTTTAATAGCTAAGGATTATAAATAAATTATGGCTGCTAATAAAATTTAGACTGAAGCAATGATCTAATTATATTATTAATATTTAATATATGCAATAAAAAGAAAACTTTTAAACACTGGTATTGTGCATAATTACTATAATGCTTATAAGGCACATTCACTTTGTTCAATTATTGATTCTGAATGGTAACCAGTTTACTAATATTAAGTATTCGCAAATATTACAAATCAGGAATAATTATCAAATGTTGATTAGATAAAAAATTGTTTTGTCAAAAAAGCTTCTATGAAACAATACTTCAAATAGTTTGTACTTATTTTTTGTATCATTCTCTAATACCAATAGAGTGCTCACTATATTTTTTTAATACAAATCAAATTTGAAATAAATATATCAAGGAACAGTATGAATATTGTTATAAAATAATCTGAATTATATTTAGGTCTATTTATAGTCTGAGTAGTATTATCTCAAAATATAAAAGCTATAGGCTCATTCTTCAAGTTTAAAGCTTAATGTTTTATGAATTACAATAGCTATTAAAGTTATTAGCAAGTCTTAAAGTATAATTTTTTTTCAAATTATAATCAAGCATGACTAGACTTAATAATTTATATTATTGTTATAAAAATTATACTATGCCAAATCGATCAATTATAATTATTATATGATAATTAGTGTATGACAAATTGGCATAAAGAATTTAGACTTGAATAGAAAAAATTAGCTATGCAAATAATTAACACTAACTTCACTCACATTACAAATTCATCATATTGAATATATTCATGTCTAAGTTTTTTTTTAAGTCATTTTTATTTGTATAAGCACTTAGTATAAATATATGGCCTTGTTGAGTCTGGATTTTTTAGAAAGGTAAAAAACAATTATTTATTTTATTTATATAATCTAAAAATATTAATTTGTTTATTTTAAGATAACATATTAAAAGAATTATTCTTTGTTAGAAGTCAAAGATGAAAATACCTTCACTGATTTACCTAAAAATCTTTATATTATTGTTTTTTTTTTTTTACTTTATACAAATACCATCAGCTAACTTTATTAATTTCATAAATTTCAGAAGTGATACATATTGTGAGAGTATAACTAGCCACATATACAATTTTAGATTATCTATTTTAAGTAGTCTGCCTGAAGGTTCTTCACTAGCTGCCATATCTGAAATCTTTTAGAAGATTTCCTATTTAAACTCTCTGGTCCTATCTTACTTAATGCAAATATTACTCTTATAGTTAACTCTAACCTTGTACTACTCTACTTTAGAAGATATCTAAGCTAACATTAGTTGCAAACTTTACTATTATGAGTCTAGATCTTATCTAAATAAGTCCTATTTCAACACCTCTAACAGATAGTGTCACAATACAACTATGCTATGCTATATCCCTATTCTAGCTTGCATATACCTTTATTTGATATTCATATAAATCTAGTTCTAGCTATGGCCCTCTACTAGTTTAGACTTCTGTGTTCTTCTGAATCTTTCACAAGGCAGATTCTCCTAATTTAGTTAGCTGCTAAGCCAAGTTGGTATTGCCATAATACCTAATATCATAAACTTACTCATACCTACTCAATCTACATCTTCGTACTCAAAAATCCTTATCAGATCAAGTATTAATTGGAATAATCTCAAAATCTGTACTACTTCATCTAACTTAGGATTTCTATTATGCAGATCTTCTGCTCATAGATCCTATCTCAATTTATTTATATTATGCAACTTCAATATTCTGTTATACTTCTAATATCTGAACAACATTAGTGCAACATGATTTACAGAGTTGCAACTCCAAAAATAAATAGAGTTTACTGTAAGTTGAATATAAGGTTTGAGTAATTATTCAAAATGTTGACAGAAGGATTTGAACCTCAAACTTATTGCATGGCAGTCTGACAACCTATTCACTACACTAGATTACCAGACCTTTTTATACCATTGTTAAAAACTTAAATTCTTGTGAATTAATTATGAGAAATAAATATAAAGATAATTTACAAGCCAATAATCAAGAAATCTTTACAAATCAAATTCATAAGCAACAAGAATCTATTACTATTACTGTTACTAATTCAAATAAAAAAGATCTCAATATTGATAATAATCAAGATCTAATCTTGTTTCAAACTTGAAAAAACTTTTTAATTTGTTAGATGAAACAAAAAATATTCTTAAAAAAAATATTTCAAATTTAAACAAATAGCTTAATAGTATCGAAAGAAACTTTGAACTGTTATAAAAATTAGTAGAAGATTATAAACAGTTTAAAAGACAAAATCATATTCCAAATACATAAAAAATCTGCAATAATAACACTTGCTGACTTTAATAAATCATGTTAAAGTTCTGTTTGAAATAAAGAATAATTGTCTATTTGCAGTAATTCTAATTCGTTAGTTTTTATTAAAAGATGAAAGTATCTAAACATTAAATTCGATGAAATTAATATTTGTTACAATGCCGCTTATAAGTGTGTACATTTATAATTAATTATATATTTAATTATTAAAAATGTCTTTCAATAAATTTAGCATAGCAAAGCATACGAAATTCTAATAGTATCAGTAATAAGTATAATAATGGCAGAAATGTGATACGTACGATTAATATTCTTTTTCGTTACACAAAATGTGAATGACATATCACGTGATTTCGAAATTTTTTTGGGTGGCGATTTTACCCGTTAAAAAATGCGCGGATGATCCTCGAATTTGATTGGCTAAGAGCGACGATCAAAAATTTTGGCCGGAATTACTCAAAATTAAAAAGTTAATTCCGGCCAGATATGAGTAAACAATTATGTAATGCGAGCCAAAATTTTGCAGATCCACGGCCGTTAGCCAATCAAAATCGAGGATCATCCGCGCTTTTTGTGCGGCACCTAGGTTCAATTAATGGTATGTTTAAAAAGGCTAGTATTGTGAAATGGCGTGGACTTGGAATTGAAGGAGTTAGGCGGTATATATATGATTTTGTATGCTGTTTTTAAGATATTTAAGGGTAGTCTGCAGTTTAAGGGTATAAATTTAATAGTAAAAATCGGCGGAGTAATACTAATACTTTCATATAGAGATGGAATGCCAAAAGTTTTTAAAATTGTATAGTAAAAAAATCAAAATACCAATATCTCGGAATCCACTGAACTGATGTAACCACCATTAAAACGAGAATAATCGTCTCTACAATTTTCCTTAGAAGCTCGTTTTTTACTATGAAATTTGCTATTTTTTATACCATTCAACTACTTTTAAGGATTTTAAAGTGAATATGGAGGATTATCTTTTCTCGCTATCGCTTGCCTTGAGTAAAAGGCTTGTTCCTTCCCGTCCCCCATTTCCAGTGAAATGAATACGAATTATAGATAGCTACGCTGTATTTCTGTTAAAAAAAAAGCAAAGGAACTGAAAACATTCAGAATATTCAAATAATTACAGTTGCCAAGAATGAAAACGGATCAGAATTAATTCGTATTATAGACGTTCCAATTTGCTATGTTGAAGTGTTTGCCATACGAGTGGCACAAAATGTAATAATAAAAGAGTAATTCTTTAATTACTTAGATACGGAATTATTATTAATTATAAAAATTTGTTTGATAATTTATTTTTAAATTTTATTTTAAGTCAATTCGGTATCTACTGTCAAACCTAAAACTAATCTCTCAAATAGTTATAGGGGCTGCTGTATCTATATGGCGATAGATAGGTAATCACAGCTTAATTCCGGGTAAGTATCAATTTATCAGTATACGATTTAGGATGAAGGCGTTAAAAGAGGAAAACAACGATTATCGGTATATGAATATACGAATATCGTTAACACGATTTATACACGAGTCAACTCAAATATTAAGCTCAAGTATACAACTCTATACTTTATTATTATTGAATGTAAGACTCACGATTCCATGAAGGATATCGAGGATACTTATACGTGATAACGGGGTACAAACTGGTGATTACTTTAGAGAATATTTTAAAGC